ACTTCTTTTGTTACAATTCTTGCAATTAGAGCTTATCGACATTTTACATTTTTAACACGTATCGATTATACCTTATTTGATGAGCGTATCATTGAAAACTTGTAACTTTTTAGGAATATTATTTTCGTTTAATTACCAATACCGTATACCAAACTAAAATACATGTAAATCAAAAATCTAAATATTTAACTCTGACAAATATTAAATACAATATGATAGTTGATAACTGAACACACGACATTAAATAAAAGTGATTGTTCTATTATTACTTACTGCTCTATTTTCAGTTTTTCAGCCTTTAATGATAAGTCCGTTATGGTGCATGTTTAAATTTTAAATTACCGGACGCAGCTATATCCCCTTTAAGTCTTAGGATTATGCGTATGTTTGCCGTACCAAAAATACCACATATTTCACTTTAATGATAAAACAGGTTTAGCAGCCATAAAAAAAGTTTTACCAGGGGTTCACACTGAGTCTCAAAGAAATTTCCCATGGACTTACTTACGTTAAATGAATTCTCGCTTAGGTACTCTAACACCGCGGGAATTATTCTATTTAGCTAACGGTAATGACAATCATTGTTTTAATTGCACGGAAAATTATTTTTAGCTCCTTACAGTACGGTGCCTTTTTAATGTCTTGTCTTTTTAAAAGTAAATTAAATCTTCATTGTATGAACGCAATGTAGCGAGATGCACTTAGTATGATATTGGTGTCGATTCTAGCGTGATTCTCTAAACTTAAAACTAAATTTAACATCAGTCTCTCCTTTTCATTCTGTATTGAGAATGACAAGGATGCACTGTTGTCAAAATTAAGTTTAGCTTTAGAGAATCATGTCAGAATCGACATCATTGTGGATGGATTTAAGTTGAACATTATTTGACAACAAAATATAGTTGCTGCTTTTGATCGAATTGATTGAGTGTGAGTATTCATCTGTCAGATGTTGCTATTGCACTTAAAATAGTTTTTCAAGTCAGTTGCAAAGTAAAAAAAGAAAGTGAGTTATAATTTTGAAAAAAGTTTATGACGAAAGTAATAACTAAAATATATATGTATTATAAAAACATAACCTAATTTACAATTTTCACTTGCAATTAATCTTTTTATGGAAACATTTTTCAGTTTATGCTATTAATACCATTTTACAAGTTTTTCGTCCGTCTAAAAATCGGTGATCCATGAAAATGTGTTGTATAATACGGTGCATGCACTAAATAGAAATACTCAAAAAAGTTCAAAGCTCCAAGAGATCTTTGCTAATTATTTTACATGTAGCCTATAAGAATGGCAGCGTAAAATACGTACCTTTTCCATCTGCCCATTACTTGTTACGGTATACACGACACACGTCAAGCTGCATATTCTAGCAATTACACACTTCTCTTAATTGACATAGGACTTGTTATTTTACCTTTAACTACGATGCCGATGAGCACTAAGTACTGTAATAAACATAGGCATTTAGGAAAGAATACTTGAGTGGATAAATCAAGATGTTTTGTTGGATCAGCGATCTTTGAAGTGTGATTCTTTTAATTTATTTATTTATTTTATTCTTCATGCACATACTGTACAATAGCGGACTTAATGCCGTAGGCATTCTCTACCAGTCAACCATAGGGTGTTGTGGAGATTTTAGTGGCAGGGTGCACAACTGAGATGGAGATCACATTTAAAGAAATATTAATTTTACTCATAATAAATATAATAATATAACAATAACATACCTATATAAGTAAATATATATAAATAATATAACTAAACATATACATACACATACATACATACATACATACTTCATATAATACATACATGACGACAAACTACTTAACGAAACGCCTGTTCCAATAAAAAGGTTCGCAGCTTGGTTTTAAAGGAATGTTTGTTGGGGGACATTCTAATGTCTAGCGGGAGTTCGTTCCACAAAAGTATAGTTTTGTATATTTATATAATGTCAAATAGGTAACAATCAACGAATTGCTTGAACGTGCGCACCGAAGCACGGCGGAACTCGCGTTAAATATTTTTTGACACCCAAAGCTGGCTTTGCGAAAGTCGCTTAATTTCCTAGATTGCAGGCCCAACACGCTTATTACCTACACCACCGAGCTCATCTATCTATACAATAAAAAGCTCTCAATTTTCGATTCTTCATAAGTCACTATAATTGATTTCAAAAATAATTTTGAATGAGGACTCATTTATCTGATTTAGGAAGTCGAAGCAACGCCACGGGGCCAGTTATTCGAGCAAATAGAAAAGGAATGGTCTCATTAGTAGTGTTTATGTTACGCTCCGTGGTTCCGACGCAAGCGTGGGTTTTTAGTTTATGCCCATTTGTAGACGCACCGAACGGTTTCTATGACGTCTCGTGCTTTTCCGATTATTCGGTAACTGCGTTACTTCCCAACTGGGTGCGATTTGGAATTCTTACTACTTGGTCCAGTTTCACTTTGGCGGTTATTTCCCGATGTACCACTGTTATCCTATTATCTTTGTACAATACTGAAAAGGCCTAGGTAAGTGTACTTATTTCTAAAGTTTTGTCTTTATCGAATTTCAAAATACTCACAAAAAATGTGAAGCCTTATTTAAATGTAACATGATACCGAATTTTAAGTGTACTACAAGCTAAATAGATATGTTTTATTGTGAGATGGTTTTTAAATAAAACTACTTTTTCACGGGTTTTTTATTGACGTTTCAGATATGGTTTTTTATGCGCGTGCAATATCGTCGTTTTTGTGAGGCTACTTTGTTTACTTTTCAACCGCTTTTGTAGGTTCTTGAAGGTTATTAACCTACTTAGGTGGATGCATTTAAGCATTCATGTGTGTCTTTGAATCCCAAATTTTGTCCACACGTGTTCTTCTTGCGTAATGTGATGCGAGTAGCTAAAAGCTTTTACCCTTTTTTCGTTTCTCATTGATGTTGAGATCTGGGCGCAGGAAATATACTGCAGCTTAATGTCACGAAGCATTTAGATTCAATATGTTGATTGGCTATGGAATTCCGGAATAAATTGATTTGAACTGCTTGCTATTTTATTAATTTAAATATAACTAAATATAATATTAAACGTTTTTCGTACTGCCAACTGATAGATATTGTATTTTAATATCAGTCTCATGGATTTCTAGCCTTAATTCTCATAACATTTCGTGTGTCGGTACATTTTTTTTAATTATATTCACTCAAACAAATAGCCTGTACTTTTATTCTTTAATCTGCCATATAGCACTTTTAAATTAAATGTTCGATTACACAAACTATACCGAGCGTGGCGTTCTAACATCAATGCAGGCTTAGTAGATAACATGCAAACGATACTGCACAATCCCTAAGTGGTTCAAGTAATAGACTAGACCAGGAGAGCTGGAGTGCCGCGGGAGCCTACCGAAGAGCGGACGGAATGTGCGCGCAAGGTCATTGCGCCCTGCGCGGTCATGCGCTCGCGCCCCCGCGCCACGCCGCGTCCCCGCACCCACCACCACATTGTCTAGTGATCAGCTGCGGATAAGGGGGAAGCGACCGCACCGAAAGGCAATAGAAACCATTTCAATGCGAAACTGCCTTTATTTTTCCATTTTGCTCGGCCGCGCTGCGAGTCGGCACGAACGCCCCCGGCAATATTGTTCCCGGTTCTAACGCCATTCTCAGAGTTAAGAAAAAGACCATTCGAGTCCCTATTTTATTTTTTGTGGTTGTTGTGAAAAGAGTTTGTTTTGATATGTGCTGCACATTCCGATGTCAGCAGGGGACAATATAAAATTGGTATAATAGAATTTCAAATATGTTATATTACTAAAGTTCAATATAAAGTTTCCATATTTAGTATTATCCATATATATTTTGTGCCGTCATTGTTTTTAAAACCCTATAATTTTAATTGCACATCACTGTTTTTTTTCTTCCGTGACATCCTGGACCAAAGATTAATCCTTGGATGTCATTATTTAATATGCTACCTAGTGAAAATAGACTAATAATACGAACGATTCAGAACTGGAGCGATTTTTTATTATGAAATAACATAAATTATACATATATATGATATGATAGTATTTCGGTTGTGGCAATAAATAAAATAAACGTAGATTCGGGGATTGATATGCAAAAAATATCTTGTTTTATTAAATCAGATGATCAAGTTACAAATTATATCAAAACCCGTTATTATCTCTATCTTGACACTGATTTCGAACGATATTAAGATAAATTGTTAGACTTTGGTTAATGCTATAAAATCTAAACATGAGTCATTATAAATGAGTCGATATAAAAATTGTAGTTGAAATATTTGTTTTGTTAAGCGCCAATATATTTGTAGTTTATTCACCTATATTACTTTTATGAATTTATCAATAACAAGAAATTTGATAAGTTTCTCTAGCTTTGAAATATCGAGTGAAAGCTTCGTATTAGTATATACCAATGTATCTAGAATTCTAGATATGATCTTATGATCTAGAAATCTCCTTATGATGGAATAACTTTTTTAGAATTAATATATATAAAGTGCTAGGAGACATATTATTCTTAAATTTAAAAGTATAAACAGCATCTGTAAATCGAAATTTTAGCTGTTCTCGAAGGTAATTTTTTAAATGATCATCTATAAAGGTTTCGTGAGGTCTATTCAAAGTGGCTAATCAAATAACTATTAAAAGCATTCGGTTGTAAACATTATAAAGAAACGATTATAAATATGATCGATGTAGGATTTGATTTGTTTTGTTTGAGAATTACATTTGCTGACAACTCAATTAGTACCAAGAGAAAGTAGTTTCATATCTTACTTATCTGCTTTTTTCACAAGTACTTTTAATTTCTTTCTTCTTGTGTTTTGATTTTTTAGAGAATAACGTTCTTTATGTTATGTAAATAGTATTATGAATAGGTACTAATCGAATAAGATGTATTGTTTTGAACGAAATTTAAGGTAGGTAATTACAACTGTGTTAAATAAATAAGTCTTTTTTCTTTTTCAGGAATAGGTTCCTGTGTAGCTGTGATACTTCTTCAATACATCGGGTATGCACAGAAATCTTTACTCTATTTTGTTAAAAGATGCAACTAGTTTAATCAAGTTGGCCACTTCCCAGCTCTTCTTGCATGCAAGTCAATATAAAAACATAGACCCAAGTAAGCATCACTACCTTACCCGGTAGTGATACTCATACTGATTTGTCTGTTTCTTACTGTCGCATCTTTGATATTTGATCACCTCGTAAGGGATATAGTATGGCGTGAAGCCATTTACTTACAAATGTGGGTCGTACACAGTCACACCGGGTTTCCACTGCAGAATTCCAAGATTCCATTCGCTTCTAAGGGAATGTTGCTACTGTCTTTGTATCTATTGTCACACTGCATATACGGTACAAGTTGTATAGTAGTTCCGTGGGACTCGGGTGAACTCTGCCTCTTTTTGTGTTGCCAAGCGTTCGACTAGCGGGCGAAACGAGATTGCATGACTGTAGAAACTACACTGACCAGCGGAAGGAGACCTCTTCTTTCCCCTATCCTTTAATTTGAGCATGACGACCTCCTTGGCCGAGTGGTTTGTACGCCAGGTTTCATGGTGTCGCCGACTCGAGAGGTCCCGGGTTCGAATCCCGGTGGGGGCAGATGTTTGTGTGATGAATACGAGCATTTGTATTCCAGTCATGGATGTTTAATATATATTTCTATATAAATATACTTATATATGTACAGTATATGTATTCTATCCGTTACCCTAGCATCCCATAACACAAGCCTTACAGTGCCTACTTTGGGGCTAGGCTAATTGGTGTGAGTGTCGGAAATATTTATTTTTTATTTATGTAGCAAGCAGAGCCCCATATCGTACCATGGACTCTTTGATAATGATCAGGCACAACACTCTCGAATAAATAAAAACGTTGATACCTTTAATGCCAATGATTTATCGTTACGGTTTTTTTAAACTCATAAAATAACTCTTAAGTGACACTGGTTAAAGAGCGAAAGTTGTAAAACCCAACACACATACAATAATATTTTATGAGTTATAAAATTGCATCGGGAACAAAAAACAAACATACGTATAAACCATTTATAATACTCATAACATCAATAGCACATGATATATAACATATGTATACAACTGGTGTATTTTATCTAGGTAAATAATAATACACGAGATGCTATAATTTTAGAAACCTGTCTTCAGATCGTTAGTATACTTATCAAACCAGGTTCAGAGGAAAAGTGTCACTTGTTTCTTCAAAACACCTTTATTATGCAGTTTGAAAGAAGCTTTAATTTATTATGGAATATAAATAGACGGAGACACTTTTTGCACAGTTTGGTTGTACAGCGCCTATTTCTTTTTTACTCGATGTGTTAAACGATAAAAAACCGAGGTGGAGTCGGAATAGTTTAAGTCGTTCATTTTGCGGGTGTTTTCTTATTGAACCTAGTTGGTTTTATAACAATAATAAATATATTCCGTAGAGTAATAAGCGGCTATTGAGACGTAACATGCGAACTTCTGTAAGCAAGAGTGACAAGCCACGCCCTCTACACGTTCTCAGCCCGTACAACTGCAAATTTCTAACTTATCACAATCGATTCCTATGAAATGTTCAGAGAGAAATTGCCATGTAATATCACATAATGGCCCATATCATAATTGACTTCCACTGTGTCCGTAAACACGTAGCGTTTGTGATATTGAAGTGACCGATATAAACGGTCGACACAGTTATCGTCGATAATTTTTATTAAAAACTTTCGATTTACTAGAAATATACTCCAAATAATTATGTTGGAAATGCAGTTTATGGTAGCCAAAACTATTATTTCTATTTGCGTTTTATGAAAGAGCAATTTTAGGGATCCGCATCCAGGGAACTAATTTTTGCGCTATCCGTTCTTACATAAATCAACAGGTTATATCTTATGAAATGTCATAATCGTAATAATTTATTCTTCGTATAACTCAAATCCTGTTATTACAATATAAAAATAAAAATAATATGTATGCAAGCATATCCGTGACGTGAGTGACGACCTCCGTGGTCGAGTGGTTTGTACGCCGGGTTTCATGGTGTCGCCGACTCGAGAGGTCCCGGGTTCGAATCCCGGTGGGGGCAGATGTTTGTGTGATGAATACGAGCATTTGTACTCCAGTCATGGATGTTTAATATGTATTTCTATATAAATATACTTATCTATGTACTGTATATGTATTCTATCCGTTACCCTAGTATCCCATAACACAAGCCTTACAGTGCTTACTTTGGGGCTAGGCTAATTGGTGTGAGTGTTATAAATAAAACTGTCATTTTGCATCTAGTATTTTTTGTTTGTATGTATTTATGTTGGTGTAATTACACATCTTTGTAATTAAGGCATGTGGGTCAAGAGTGACTTTACGAAATGGATATACGTCGTTATATACTATATCTACAGAAACGGATGAACCTCTAATAGCTGAACTGACATGATACAGTGTGGGAACACTGGAGTTTGCACGCCTTTTACGGAACCATATCATTTCAATTAAATGGGCCTGTTGTTTCTTTGATTTGTAATCAAAGAAACAACTAGGCAGGCGCTATTATGTTTGCTTTGCGGTAGTTCGCAGTCGGTCTTAATCGAATTCCATACATTATTTCACGACCCTCCTTTTAATAGTTCTAATAACTCGCGAAGCCTGGAAATTAACACCGTACATCTACGTAACGATTCTTGTCTAGGCACGTCTAGGGCTTTACAGGAACTGAGGAATTAACTTTTTTAACATATACTTTTCTGAATGGTGGCGTTAAGGATTTTGCTTTAATTTCTAAACTACGTACCTAATTGTACGTTATTATAATTAACGAGAATTTCTTAGTCTTTGTGTTCAATATTAAAGTGCATTATGATTTCTTATGGCTTATAATACGCTGAATAATAAAAATGGCAAAGGGAAAAAACTAACTAAACTACTTATAATACAAGAAAAATTAAATATGTGATACACGGTCGTACACCTCACATGTCTTACATCATTCAGTTGAGTTTATATTAGTAGTATTTTGCATAAATATTATGTTATTCACAAGAACTTCAAAGAAATTGTATCCTATAAATGTCCAAAGCAATTATTACTGACTCGTCGTTGAAAAGGAAAGAGGTTTTATAGCCTAAGGGTCGACGAAGTGCCAGTGCCAATTACTTCGAGTTTAGATATATCTTTTTGCCTGTTTTTGTTTTTTGTAACTACGAACATAAAGCTTAAAAAGTTATATTATTGCATTTTAATTTACTGTAGATATTCTGCCGCAAACTTCTGTCTAAGCCAGAATGTCTTTAATTGATGAAAATACATTTTGTGTAAAGCTTTTATCTTGTAGGTAGTAAATTAAAGGTTGTCTGACATGATATTCGAAATGCAATATGAAAACAAATATGGTTTTACCAAAACTGGTAAATCATTATTTTCAAATTTTGTAGCCAAAGTTGACTGACTTTAAATTTATTCACATTACTTAATGGAAGGAAAATTATTATCAAGTTACTGGTGCTCCGTACTTGTCGAATGCTACAATGTTAATTTAGTGTCGTGCACTGGTTGCTCGTAGCGTAGAGCTGTCTTTGTTTCTAGTTTCATGACTTGTCTATGTCTCCCTCTAAACACGTATATTTGTATATCAAAACGAACGAACACTAACGAAGCTATTTCCATCTCTAGTTTCTGCGCGGCATAACGAGAACGCTTATCACAGGACAGCCGGTAGCAGTCATTGAACTTTGGAATCAATTTATTTCTAAAGAAATTAAAATGACTTGAAATAATTTCCGAGATTTGAGTCGTTACGTTTATAGTTAAACGGAAACTTATACGTTTATCATCTCCTAGCTTTTATTATAATTAAGGAATGTTGTCAAATTCCCTATTAATTAAGTTGTTTTCTTTGTTCACAAGTTTTCTTATTATCAGTTAGTTTAGATTGTCAGTTTCGGTATTATGTCATGTATCTAACCCGTTACTTTCCTTGTTCGCAAATTTTTTTGTACGTCAGTTAGTTTAGATTGTGTTTGACTACTCCATCGTGTCATGTCATATATTAATGTAAATACTCATGACATTTCTTATTAAGTTATATATTACTGGATTACATAGGTATAGAAAACAAAGTTCAGCGTGTTTTTAGCATTTCTTGTTAACGCCCTTAACTGTTTTATCAGTTAAGGGCGTTAACAATAAATGCTTTAACATGGAGTAAGATTTTTTTCTGAAGACTTAAAATTGGGTATGAAAACACTTTGGTAGTTTCTTTGCGTTATAATTTCGCTTAACCGAAAAAACATATATAGTTAAATTTTACTTTGGACACTGTATATGTCGTAATCATATTCATTTATTGCTTAATGTTGTAATGTACATGGGATCTTTAAAATACAGTAGGTATTTCGTGTTATTTTAAAAGTATCAAAAATATCTTAATGTCGTCTTATTTTTTTTTAGCTCTGTATGTTCTTTCCGGTTGACTGGTAGAGAATGCATTAAGTCCGCCATTTGCAATGTAAAGGCAAAAAAGATTAAATATATAAATATAAAAGAAAATAGTAAATGAAATAAAAGTCTGATGAATATTTATTTGTCTGACATCTTTATATCCTGGTAACAAGTGAAACATACAAATATAATAATAATAATAATAAATATATATTTATTCAAATAAATATGGAAACCGCTACCGAATTTCAACTCAAATCTCATAGTACATACATTATTTTACTATTTTTTGACATTAGAAAACAATATTGGTATATAAGTCAAGACATACGGAACATTATAATACATATTGTAAAAGGTGTATGTGAGAGATGTATAAAAAAGGACCCGACCAGCACGGTGGAGGTGGCTGGTACGGTATGTGTCCTGTAGTAGCTTATCCATAAATGAACTGTCTTTAAAGACAATTGCCATCAGGTATGCAAGTTCTGCGTGGTTTGTGTGTAGATAATTGTTGAGAGATGTAAGGAATTAAAAAAGCAACTCGAGAAAAAGATTT